GTTGTTGTTGAGCAGATAGCTTCGGATACCAGAAACTCTATTTAAGACCTAATGCCTAATTTAAGCTAAAATTAAGAAACCATGGCGTAGTATGGTAAGATTTATATAATTGGAAGTCATTAGCAAATGACAGCCCGATCAAAAATCCTGAGCTATCGATAACTTAATTATAAATGTATTGTATAAACCATTCAATGCATAAAGCAAAGTAAAATAATTATTTCCTGAATATTGAAATAAATTATTTTTCTCATAGTACAGGGAACGTAATGTATATATTTGCAATTTATTTTTTAGCTATCATTTACTTAAATAATGGAAATTATTTTTCTATTCAAAATTGTACAACATTGGATTTTCTAATTATAAAATTGTCGCCGAAAAGTTCTTTCTGATTTGTTCCATATTTTATTTACGAAAATGCTTTTATTTCTTACGTCTCCTTCATTTGAATTTTAACGCAGCTGATAATAAAAATCAATGCATATTTTCATGCATTGTTGCGCGTTTAGAATTTCTAATAAAATTTAAATTCTATACTATCCATTTACGATTGTCTTTTACCTTAATTAAACTACATCTGTTATCATATTGTTGTTTTATGATGTTTGTTTCAATGTTGGCTTGAATCTATTGTGAATTTATTTTCCAATCATTAAATGATTTAAGTACTAATAATCATAATGAGTATTGGCAACAATAGTGTCGAAATTGTCATTTTATCATTTTATTGCGGTGCTAGATTTAAAATTCCTATTTTCGTAATTCAAAGCTTTTATAACATCGTAAACTTTGTAGGATTAATTATGGGATCGATGTCAGTCTCTTCTAGATTATATCTAGAGTACGCCTTGACAGCTTTCGAGACAATTTGTTTTGGCACTGACTACATGATTCATTTACAGAAATGTATTTATCACTCAAGAGAGACTTTAGGAAGTCGAGATAAATTGTTCAGCAAATTGCAACTTGGAGTTACAACATATTAATCGAATTTCAATTTTAATGCATATTCATATAATGATATGATAAATGTCTTACTTCACATAAAATAAAAACATTGAAATTATAGCTATTTATCTGGTAATTTATCATTTCTGAATAGTTACTTTTACAATCATGAACAACATATTTTGCTATTTATCCTGGTCGGCTTATACATCAGGATCATTATTGACATCATTCCAACTGAAAATAAACAACTTAGAAATTATTTAAATTCTAATATAGAAATTATTCGATTATGAATTCATAATCAGTAATATGCGATGGTTATAACTTTAATTTTAGATCAATGTATCCCTTTCCTACAAAATTTAATATTTCTGAGTATTTTCAAAAAAATTTTAATTCTTAATATTAATAAGGGAGTTAACTTTGACTCAATAAATTGAAATCGATACGCCAATTCGGAATTAGAAGTTCATGAATAATTGGTAATTTATTGACGAGGCTCTCGTAGTCTTAATAAATTCATAATTTTACATTTCAAACGGTATTAATAGATCAAACAGTTCGAATTTGGGTAAGGAAATATCGACGAATCACGAGAATAATGGTATTAATTTCTGAATGGAATATCGATTCATCAATATCTATATGTATGTACACAATATTTTAAATTTATTTTCTACGATAAATTATTGTTAGCGAATAAACTTCCGGTAAATATTAATAGCCTCATGGGCATCCTGAAATTTAATGTAGAATATCTCCCGATATAAGGTTCGTCCAGTAACATCCTTCGGTAAGATTTGTTAATCTGACAATTTATCTTCAAGCAAATATTGCTTCATAAATCTACTATGAAAACGGATGAATTATGTAACAGACTAGTGATATCTTTAAACTTACAGATTTCAGTTCTTATCAGTTTAAAGAGATAGACTAGATATTTAGGAGAGAAACTGAGGAGTAGATTCGCTGTAAAACTGAATGTACAGTATGATTCATTTCCTTTTACGACATATCGGCTTGCAGGGATTTTAGTTCGTTATCTGACCTAAGCTGTATGATCAAAAAAATACTAATAAGAACATATTAATTTTTTACATATTTCTATCTATAATTACTGTAAGGGTATCTTCAAGTTTCAATATGATTAATAGGACTATTTCCAAGTTGATATATAAATATGTAAGTGTAAATAAATCTAAAAGAACGAATGCTAGTAATCGTTGCAATTACCGGTATTATACGATATCGATATTTGACAATATAAATTGCTACAATTGGGTAAGCGTACGTATTATATTGCATTAAATAACTAAGAGTACATTAAAAATTTAAAAGTGGCTAATGAAGCATATTTTATAAGCATTAAATTGAAAGTGCTATTATGCATGCATTACTAGAAAATCTAAATTTAGTTAGAGTAAAAATATAGTTTAATAAATTTTAGATATATATTCGGTATTACAATAGTTACAATAATAAAGCACCAACCTTACGTAATTCTAGAAATCATATTACTCTTACGTTAGTTTTAACGTTATGTTAATTAGTTGACCAGACATAAATATTTAAAAGATAGACAACTTCTAATAATAGAATTTATATTAGTATCAATTAACTCATTCCCTAAATGCCCTATTGGACACAAGAAAACAAGTTATTTTAGTCTGAGATGCCTTGCTAAAGCACAGCTTTAGTTTTACTAAGGCGATATTCAGGTCGCATTTGTGAATTTTAGTCTTGTAGTCTTTTACTGTGACGTACAGTCTTATTGATGTAAGTTTGCTTTAGCAACGTAAGTTTACTCGATTTCATTGATATCGTTATTTCTGACTAAAACCCGGAATTCTTCCAATTTTTATCTTATCCAGTCAAATTAAGCAAGTTTAAACCAGTATAGAACATTTAGTTAAAATATTCTAGTGAGATTCAGCTCGAATACTTGACTCTAAAATGCGATATGGTACATATATTTTAAAGGACGTATTTAGCTTCAATGAAATACTTACATAGTAGCATCAATCTTAGTCGTATTCATGATTTTGAAACAATTATCAATAATTAATTAATTGGATTACTTTCTTTTCATGGACCTACTTTAGGATTTTGTCTGCTCCTAATACTAAAAGCAGTCACTTTATTTCTACGCTGTTGTATATATGAACGGCATAATAGACCGTGAATAAATTCTTTTTGTAATCTTTGATTACAAATAAGGTAAGCAACTGGAGTGAAAGCAAATAAGACAGACAAACAAACGATGGCGATACCAAATAAAATACCAATATTTGTGCCATAAATTACTGATACATTTTCACTTTCAGTATTATCGAATGGAATAAAAGCAGTAATATTACCATTTCTACTTGTAAAGGAAGAAGTCGGATGAAAGTGAGTGGCTGCAGCAAGAACTAGCCCAACGGAATACGGTGACAAGCACAACATATACAGTAACGTTATAATAATTATTAGACGAATGCCTGCTTTTACTTTACGATCATATTGGTAGTCATGTTCAGAATTACTGACGTTCCAGAAAAAATTGGGCTTTCGTAGACGTATTTGGACACCATAGTAAAGTTTATAAATGACAATGGAATAACATACGCACATAACTACGTAAGGAAAGAGAGACGTAATAGCAATAAAAACAATAGTATAAGCAAGAATAAGCTGACTTCTATTAGAGCTAGTAAAAGCACAAATACGGCTAGTTGACGTATTGTAGTAAGTTTTAATGGTCAGCCATGCGTAAGGGATACAAAATCCTGTAGCAAAAAGCCAAATAGCAACCGTTATCAAGATATATCGCTTTGTACTGATATTTTGACGAACACTTCTATAAACAGCAAAATAATGGTGTATACCAATAGCTACTAGGATAAATGTGCCCGCATTGATACTCGTAAAAATGATTCCGATCAGCATTTGACATACTGGAAAACTGGAATACTTTATATGATCTTCATTATTTGCAGAAAATATTGTATTGGAGTGTAATACAGCGTAGCTAGTATTAGGAAATGTTTGTTGCGTTAAATTTCCCGGCAAAATGGAAAGCGGTGTGAAAGTTGTACGATGTACGGAGAGGACGAGGTAATTAATAAATTCAGTCGATAGAGCCGACAAATTAAAAACGATACCAGTTAATGAAATATTAAGAATTTGATAAAATGATAATGAGTGTAGCTGCTTTCGCGCTAAGATTGTTGCGGCAATCATTGAATTCGAAATTAAACTCCAGATATAAATTCCAATTGTAATCCATGATATAATAGCGCTGTAAGAGTTAAAGTGGAGTGTTTCAGAATTTTGTTCGGGATTAAAACGATGATGATCTGGATATCCGCAATGATTTACGCCAGGATTGATTGTAGAATTGTAACTAGGTGTAGAAAATGGGCTTGAAAAGGATGACATATGACTTACGAAATTCATATCTTCAGTATTTGCAGAAATAGTTATATAAGCTATCAATTACAATGACCCTGCATCACAGATTGGAATAGAATGGTTTTGCAATATTGATGCTATAATGGTAAATCAATGACTGAAAGAGCTAATTTCCATATAGTCTTTTCTACCTTTATCTACTTTCTGGAAATAAATTCTTGTAGAGTGCTAGTTAAATCCTTTTCAGTAATACATTTCAAGGTTTATATAACATATATACCTAAGAGAAGAATAAAAATTAGATAATTTTAATCAAATATAGTTAAGGTTAAAGTTAGAAATTTTCTGTCATGAAATGGCATCGTTAACATTATAAATTGTATACAGTAGATAAATTAGTAATATTGTTGACAAAAATAGGACAGAAAAATGCGCTAATAATACTAGCAAATTTTTATGAATTACAAAAGAAATTATATTACTTTCTCACATAGCATAAAGTGATTTCCATTATTTATCTAGGTCCTATTATGTAGATATTGATCTGTTTCAATTGTATGCTACTTGGATTGCTTTAGCTAATAATCGTAGACTGATTCACTTTGAGTTACATTTTGGATTCATTATTAACTTATTAATGTCAAAGAGTCCATGATAAAATATTTCTGAACATGTGCGATTAACAAATATTTCACTAAAAAGTACGGCACTTTGAATTGATCTTTTATTATTTGATAACATCAATTCCTCTTCAAAGCGTACAAAAATAGCGCAGTTTGAAGCTTGTAATAAAGAAGTAGAGAATATATATATGTATTATTATGTATACGTCGATGTAATAACTCACCTTATTGCGTTAGGTTCTAGTTAAGGTCGTAGAACTTAGTATCAGTATCAATATGACTTAACATCACTTCGCTACAGTCGTACATGTACACTTATAATAACAACTAATTTTTTGAATTGAAGTGAAAATTAAGTTATTTTCGCACTTAGCATACAAATAAATTCGTTCATTTATCTGGGTTCTAAATTGTGAATATTGATTAATCTCAGTTTTAGGCTGTTTACGGATTGCTTAAGCTGATGATCTTACGCTTTCTTAATATTAGAGAATCTATAACAAAATTTTCCTGAGCTCATGCGATTAACAGCCAGATTAATTAAAAATATTTTAGATTGATCATTTATAGTATTTATTGGATAATTTAATTGCTCTACAAAGCATACAAAATATAGCGTAGTCAGGAGTTAGTACTGAAGAAGTAGGGAAGATAAAAGGATGTACTCTCTTTTTGATACTTTTAATACTATAAGGTCAATTAATTTTATACATATTACACTTTCGTAGTCCTTTACGCGTTTGGTCATGATTGAAATTTAGAGGTATTTTTCTTGTAAATTACGTTGATTGAAAAAAGAAATTGCAATAGTTAATGTAAAGTTAAAAATTCAACTCTCTCGTTTCTTATATATTGTATACTGTGAAATGCTATTTTAACTCCAAAGGGTATGTCTTTTAGAGCTTGCCATTTAAACTATCAGCTAAAACTTTAATTAAATGATTTCATGTTATGGCTACGATCAATGCAAGAAATTAAAAAATATAATACGTACCGATACCTTTTGGCTTAGTAATCTATTCACTAAACAGACCATTTATCATTATAAGAGATTCGATTTTCAGCAACCTGTACTACTATTATTTCATGTATCCGTCTGCTAATTGGTCTCGAATATTCCGAGAATTTACTAATTAAATAGGTAATGTACGTGTATTATGATATAATTAATGAAGTAATTCACAATCGACTATAATAACTTTTCAGGAAATTAGTTTGCTTAAGTTATATTGATATGAGTGTGAAAATTAACTAAATCTTAGCGTTGAAACTAGTAGCTATATCTTTAATTCAATGGTCTCATATTTTTGCTGCGATTGATGTGTAAAGTTTAAAATATAAGATTGTGTCGGCATCTATAACCTTAAAGGTCTATTCTATAGATATAGAACTAGGAATAAATAAATAATAAGTTTATCATAAATTTTATACTTTATAGAAAACTTTATTAAATAACTATTTCTCGGCTAAGCCGATATTTTAAAATCAAAATTAAGTAAGTGATTTAGTATCTTTGTTAGAATTGACAGGGCCTAAGACAGTAATATCGTTTTATGCATAGGGTAGTAGTTGGTTCTCTAATATGAACATGATTTTATTATGAGTATACATCTGATAAGACCCCCTGAAGAAAATAATATTTAAAATTTTGTAAATAATTACTATAATCACACAACTTAAGACTCCCGTCTAAAGATTTAATTAGGACCTACTACTCCTTATTATGATACAAACAATTTTGCAAATCGGTAACTAACAATAAAAATTACATTAGCCTTAGCTAGCAAAGTCTCCTAAAATTTATTGAGGAACTTCTAATTTTATATACTGCATTAATTGATTTCCAGTGGGTGTAATGGTTATTTTTCAGTGAACTGTTCTAAATAATAAGAATTTTATGATTTCTCTTAATATCTGCCATTTAACTATTTAAGATCAATTAAAATCAATATCTTAGTTAACAGCGATAAAGCCTACTTTTCGTTGTTGCCATGGTTCATATGGTATGGGTCGTGAAAGACTACTTACTGCAATGCACTAATTTGTCGTAAAAGCCACATTAGGCATTAGATAAATAGCCAGATTTGTCTTCTAAAAATACAAGAATTACAGTAGTACATTATCTTGAAGGTCAGTGGGTGACATTTAGAAGCATTATCTTCCAAAATTCGATTTTTATAAGATTGTGGTAAAATACTGATTAATTTAGGCCTAAGAATTGAACTATCGCTTAGGTTTCTGCTTTATTACATTTTTGGCTACAATTATGGCCGTTATTATAATATCAGCCAAATTTTTTCTTTTACGAATTATAATCTATTTGTTATCCTATCATCAATATCCTTTTGAGAAGTTCTCGTATCTATTCACGCTTTTTAAAATAAGGTTATTGACTAGAAAGTTGATAACCAAATGAAGTAAAAATTAATCTCAAAGTAGTTAAGAAAGATTACTTTCATTTTCAGAGACTTTTACTTTCGAGCTCGCAATGAACAATACTGGGTATATATAAAATTTGAGGAAGTAAAAAAGAAAGGGTGCTTCTTTTGAAATGCTAGTGTCAAATTGAAGATATTTTACGGAGTAAATGTTTTGGAAGATTAATAAGAATCTCTATGCTATAAATACTTGGTATTCAGTTGCTGTAATATTTTATTTAAAATTGAGTTAATGAATAGCTATTACCACACTGTTAGTATATTGTCGCTGAGATCAATATCACTCAATTCTTCTCTTAATTACTTACAGACAATAGCTTTCAAAAATTAGCTATTTTCCAAGTTAGTAACAGAAAAATTTCTACCAATCTCCACAGTGTGTGTATGTGGAGATTAAACCCTATTCTGAAACTGTAATGAAATAATTTGCTCCCGATACCAAAATTAAACGATCAAATGCCTTTTATAGACAAAAAATTTCAGCAAGTTTTTTCTAATTATATAATTATTAGTAAAATCAATCATGTTATTAACATAGTATAGTCAAGATAGGATATCTTTCGTAAAAGATCATTTTAGCACTCTAATAAACAACAGTTTATAAAGTCAGAATTTAATCTACAAAATTATTGCATTCTTATAAATAATCATTTACTCTGGAGCTTGAATGGTAAGAAACTAATTTTCTGCAGCTATCATAAACTACTTCATTGGTCTATATTCATATTGAAATGACGCAATTAATGCTGAATATTTAAGCTTTGATATAACCTTCTATCCAATTTTATAGTTCATGATCAAATATCACCATTATAATCAGGTGTCTTGATGTAATATTTAATCAGCTTTACTAGAATTAATAAATCCGTTCATTTCATAAATTGGAATAGAAATCACATCTAGATGTTTACAATAACGTAATAAACGGCATGAATCAGTATGTGAGAGCGATAAAGAATTAATTCAATTATTGACTCAGATATTCATCATTTTCAGTATATACTAACAGATAGTTTTGATTTTCGTTAGGACTATACTAATTATGTACGATATATAAGTAGTGTGCCTTAAGTGATATTGATATCAGATTGTTAACCAGTGTGATATATACCAATCACGAAATTCCAAATTTTAGAAAAATAAGGGCTTTATTCAATCTTATACAAAGATTAACTACACAGCTCTACTCTAGCCGAATACTAATTCTAAAGACTTCTACAACGAACTAACAGAATAATCTAAAGTTGCATGCTTTTATACTTTCCGTAGCATTCGCAGCTACAATCCGCATGGCAACCTTTTACCTTATTTTACACATAGTTAAATTATTCTTAGTAAGACTATTCTACCGCGGACCATCATTAATCCAATATGGATACGACTACAGTACTTACGTAGACATTATTCATACCAGCCAAAGTACAATGAATTAACCATATCCTAATAAATGATTTACAGTTCTATTTTTACCTATAGTCATATTAGTAACTCAACAGCTTACTGTATATAGTCATCTGTACTCTAGCATAGAGTCTACACCACTACTGTCTATAGTTACAGCTACCAAATATCTCTTAGGATAAATATCTACCGTACATTATACTACACATGGCTAACAGTCTACAATCACAATACTAAGTTACATTACAACCAGATATAAACGTTTTATATCAAATTTTTATTATTAATTATCTCTATATATTCTACAAGATTATTCCATACGATAATGAATTCACGATAAAATTTTATTGGAATAAATCATAAAGAGCAAAGCCATTTCTCTGTAATTACATTTTATCAGAGTGAAGGCCAAACTAGCAATATGCATATATTGGAGATCTCATTCTGTCAAATTGATGTTATTATTGTTTGACAACAGTCATAGGTTTTGTAATTGAAGATTTACTCATGAAATTGCTCCAATTTCTCGATAACGATAGCCCAGTATTAAAATTAATACTTTACTTAGCGTAACCTAATACAA